AATTAGATTTCTTGTTTTAGCTAGAATACCATTCAGAATGTGTAAATACCCACTTTTTTCTCGATGTCTTCCTGCTCGAGACGCTTGCGGTCATCCACCTTTCAGGTTTGTGATGTCACGATGTCACACATGTGGCTTGAGAGCAGGATCTGGGTACGAGATTCGGCTGCCATAGTAACGTGCTAGAGATCAAGGCTTTTTTTTAACTTTCTTAGTTATTTACTTACTATTTTACTCGTTTCGGTCGTTTCGCTTGTTTCGGTGGTTTCGTTTCGCTTGTTTCGCTCGTTTCGGTCGTTTCGTTTCGGTCGTTTCGTTTCGTTGTTTCGGGTTTCAGGACATGCCGTTCAACAAGCACGTTGTTTTATACGATCACAAATATATTTCTAGAAATTTTGGTCGGGATTTCCTCTCAGGGAGAATGTGTTCCGTTTGAAGTTGAATCCTGCCATTTTGGTTGAGACGAGTTGTATCGTATCGAGTCCGAGGCCAGCTCGAGTTTTGTCACAAGTCAAGTCTAGGCAGGTTGACTTTTTTGTACCAGAGGTTCATGAACAGCACAAGGTTTGTCTCTTTTATCGCTGCCGATTTCGAGGGTTAATTCGTGCTTTGATTCACAGTTGTTTTTGAAAGAACCAAGAAGAAGTAAACATTCCATACTCCTGCAAAAAAGGGGGGTACCAATCAGGCATCACGCTCAATTATTCCATTAAATCACGCATCACGGATAGTTTCTTTTATCAATCACGCGTCAGGTAATAATTTAGGCCCAGTTCAGACGCCGAACTTATCCTGGGCCGAACCTAATACGTTGAATTAAGTACATGAAAAGTTCGGCGTCTGAATCAGTTAAGAACGGCTATTTGAATTTGGAACGGCTCAGCCGTTCTTCCCGCCTAGCTCAGCCGGGAATTTCGTCTTTGGAACGGCTTTGATTCGGACGTCGAACTTTTCATGTGCCGAACCTACTGCATACACCTTGCCTGAAAACCGCTGACGTTTCGATGTGTTTTGGTTCAAACTAAATTAAGTTCGGTAAATTAAGTTCAACGTCTGAATCAACAGGTGTACTTTTGAAAATTTGGGTCGGTCCAAATTCGAATTAAGTTCGGCTCATAAAAAGTTCGGCGGCTGAACTGGGCCTAAGTGCATCGCCAATTTTACTTTCTCGACCTTAAAAGCGTGTTTAAAAGGAGAGCGCTGCCGATTCAACCACAGAAATGCATCGGCAAATATTCGAAACATAATTCTGCCCGAAAATGAAAGTTATTGGCCAAAATAAAAGTGGCGACCCGTGAGGAGACCGACAGATTCGGTTTGCACCCAGGAGGCTCTTGGATAATCTGTGAGAGGAGTTGGCACCGTCTATAAACAGGCTCCTGACGAGCGCGGAAAAAATGAAATAGGGTGAGCGAAGCGATCCTGGCGTGGTGGGATTTTTCCCTCACTAGACCACTCTCGGCTATCTCCGCCCGCCTTTTTTTTTTTACTTTCTCTATGACAAAGTCGGGAGCCTGTTCACAGGTTAAGCTGGCAGAGATCTGAGAAAACGTCTACGCCAGTTTTGCCATACTTTGATCCAGTCCCTTATGGTTGGCCATTCGTTTCAAAATTACGACAGGGTATGGCTGGTTTGCAGTGTCACGCAATCAAAATTAAAAATCATAACCACTCAATAAATTAACTCAAGAAGCTGGGGTATGAAACATGATTGACATATAAAAAAAACCTCGCCAAGATTTAGGTCTGTACAGTTTTTCATATTCCCGTTATTCGGAGAAGTGTTTCACACAAATTTATAGAGCTTTGCATGGAGTCGCCATGTTTGTGCCCCTCGGAGGGACACAAACATGGTGGCCGTAAAGTAACAGAAACATCCGTCATTGAGTTTTGCCATTGAAACGAAAAGTTATTACTCTAGAGCTCCGACACATTGAAATTAATACTTTTTCTAGAGCAACAACTGTTTAATTAGCAAAAACTTGAGCAAAAACTCATCGTTTTGACCATTCGAGAGCCTTATCGGGCCGCCATGTTAATGTCACATAACGCATAAACTTGGAAATTCAAACGTGCCCTATTTCAAAATGAGGAACCCTGTCTAGCTTAAACGCTGCAAAGCATCAAGTTATTAAAGGGTCTTACTTCTGATGAAACTAAAACTTCAGAATGATTGGTAGTTTCTTATTTTGGAAAATGATGACGTCACATGAAAAGCGGCAATACGCGGGTTGCTCTGCCGCGTATACTTGTTTACATACGTTACTATGGGCTTCAAGCCCATATATACGACCCTTTAGATCGCGTATATACAAATTTTTTAAATGACCACACATTTGCATGCGTAAACTCAAGCGCGGGGATATGCGAAATAAATGCCCAAGGCATACGCGTCCTACAAAGACCCATATATACCCGTGCTAAGATTCGCAAATTACGTTGTATATGTCAGTACGAAAAGTACTTTTTTGTCAGAATGGCTTTTTCATCTTTAACTAGAAATCGTCTATATAACGGCTGTGGTAAAATGTCTTGTATTGGTCAATCTGCCCTCAAGATTTTTTTCTTCAACCTGGTACGCTAATTGGAAGCTCCTTTTTTCCTAGTATATCGGCGGTTTATTTACTGAAACCCATAATTCTGGTGCACAATACGGTAATCATTAAATTTTAATTTAGGAAAATCTCGCGTATGGTCGGTATATCGCGCACTATTTCACGTAGTTGACAAAAAGAGAATAGTATACTCTTTATTTTGCTCCTTACCCTCAGTTTTTTCCAAACCTTCTCACTTTCCATGGAGATTGATCTTTTTAGTTTAGAGTTATCAGGGTTCTTTATAATTTTTATCGCCAAATATAGCAGCGGATGAAGTTGAATATAGTAGAGCTGTCTGGTTTTGTAGCCTTAAGCCCTGGTCGAACGGACTCATAAGGAGTCGCAAGTAGCCACAAGTTGAATTTGCGTAGAGACTTGCGTTGGGTGGCCAAACGGACTCGCAAGTTTCCTCGCAAGTACACGCAGGTCGCAAAAAACCCATTTCAAGGCAGACATATCCTGTATTTCATTGGCTAATAAAAGGTTAACTGATAGCCTGCGTAGCAAGCGTTTCTGTGGGGTTCGGGAGCAAAGAATTACAGCGCGAAAAATAGAGCGAGTAAAAGAGGGGGAAGGTTCGCGCCCCATTTTCCGCGCAGACAAAACACTGAAAATCCCGTTCCTCGGTCTTTCTTTGCTTCTCAACCCCACGGAAACGCTTGCTACGCGGGCTAGTTAACTGAGGACGTCACCCAACTTGCGTTTACTTGGGTTGGGTGGCCAAACGGTGAAAAACTTGTGTCGACTTGCGTGCAAATTTGATCTCGACCAGAGTGAGCGCAAGTCATCGCAAGTCAACGCAAGTGCACGTAAGGCCTGGCCAAACGGAGTGGCAAGTGGACGCAAGTTGAGAACTTGCGTCTACTTGCGACTCCGTTTGGTCAGGGCTTTAAGGCTGCAAGTCGGCGCGTACAAGTTTGAGCCACACGTCATTTAAAGTGCTTTCACAAATAGAACAGGTTACATTAGTAATTATAAAACTACAGAGTAACAGCCATTTTTTCCGAAGGAAAAACGATCGAAATGTGGTTTCGTGACTGATGGAGACACCGTTAACTTGTTTGCTTTTCTTGCGGATTTATCTCGCATCTGATTGGTAGCTACACAATCGACATGTCGAAATCAAATCAAAGTGTTCACGGCTTTTTGACTGTCGGGAAAACTCGAAATCCAACTCGAAATCCAACTCGAAATCCAACTCGAAGTCCAACTCGAACTCGAACTCGAATCCAAACTCGAGCATACCTTATTACTCCCTTGACTTTCACAGTAAAAATCCTTTGACAAGAACTTGATAAAACGTTCAGTATCAATTGGATGAATACATAAAATTTCTCCTTGACTGTCTTTGGTTTTAAAAGTCTGTTTGACCTACGCTAATAACCTGAGTGTTGTGCTTTGGTCGAAAACAAGCGCATTCTGCGTCGAATCTGAATGCATGGTTTGTTTCACTTTCCTTACTACTTATCAACGCTTGGTTCGTTTTAAATTTGTAACTGAGATATATTTCGTTGCTCAAAGAACAAAATTATTGTGTATGCGGAAGGGCCTTTGAGAAACTCAGCCACCGATTGTCGACCCCGTATTAAATCCAGAGATACAGAGCTAGACTAGTTCTGCAGTTCCTGTTGCACTTTTACACATTCCAACACGGCACGCACTATCACTAACACCGTTTGTATCAGGTATAAGAACTTAGTTTTGCATAATAAACTTACTTGATCGATTACACAGCAACGTGTAACATGGTGGCAAAGAGTTAGAAATGTTCAAGCCGTTCTAAATCCGGAATTCTGGAACATCATGGCTTCTACCAGCTCTCTGTTTCCGAGTCTCAAAATGACGGGCGATGACAGCATATGTCGAAGAGTTAATCGATTATTATGAACCTTTGCATATCGAAATGGAGTGTCTCAGGTCACCCCTGTCCTCCCCAAGGCATCGCGCTCCAGTGGCGAAACGACGAACTAAAACGGCTCTGGGGCCTATTTCTGGAAAGCCCCGGAAACTTTTCGAGCCTGAATAGCCATTTTTAGTTAATCGGTATTTAAAGACAGAGAGGTGTATACGCCTGAAACTTCTTGTACGGAATGGAACCTCTGTTTGTATTAATTAAGAATATGTGAATAAAACAGCTCTGTAATCCTAAGCTTTGAGATTTTGCTATGGCTTTCCTAGGTACAACAACCACATTACCTCACTCAAATTAACATCAATGGGTCAAAGCCAGAATTCTCACCAAAAGTCGAAATTGGCAGACAAATAACTGCACTCCAGTGTACTACTTCTTAATTGAAGCCTCTTGTAATTTCTTAATTGAACTTAAAACCACACTTCTCCTTCATGAATGGCTAGTGTAAGTAAAAATGGCAATGTAATAGATAAAAATATAAACCTAGTTTACTCATGGCGGTTGAAAATCGTCAAAATATCGATTGCATTTTCTTTGTTTATTATTATTATTATTTGGTCTCATGAAACGTCGATTTTTCCTAAATGTGTGAATTCCTGTAAATGTTTTTCCTTCACTTCTACGCTCGCTTCAAAGGACAAAGGGGAACTGTCCTTAGTGGTATACCTGTTCACTGATGTTAAAAAGTAAAAGGTCTTTGGGGCTAATTCGAGTCTAATGGGTAGCGTGTTAGAATAAACTCTTTCACCGGGCGAACCTGATAATTCAAACTTGTAAGTGCGATCGCTGCACACATTTGTTACTTCTAATGCAAGAGAAACTTTTGCGTAATTCCGTCTCAAGAATAAAAGACAGCCTGAGTCCAAGTCTTTCGCAATCGTCTCCGAACCGAACATTGTAAGTGGAACACCATTTGCAGTCGCTTCACCAGTCTTTGTAGAGCTTGCGGTTTCTTCATTAGCGCATGCGCACAACTTGATATCAACTGAGTTATCTGCGCATGACTTGAACTTGCTGTACGTTGACTGTCGTTCGTAGCTTGTCAGCCAAACTTTGTCTTTAGCTTTAGCGTAGTGTTTAAGAGAGACTTTGAACATTTCATTCTCGTTATATCCGCTTGGAGGGATCACGTATAAGTCCATTGTCGTCATGATGTACTTTCCTTGGGAGCGTTGCTTAATATTTGCAAACGATTTGCCTACTAAGCGTTGGCAGTTACCATACCCGTATCTTTGAGTTGAGTTCTCGCTACCTGTTGGAACAAAATGGGTGAAAATTAAACCAGCAATTTTCCAGTGGTACCTGACTGATGAGAATGTGCGAATTGAGCAATAATTGAACCCCCCTCCCCCCATTACAAAAAGTCCCTTGGATCAGTGCGACACGCGCTGTGGACGTAAACATAACTAAGATATCGGGATGTAAACTCTAGTTGCTTGTGTAACGATTGATCTCATTACAAGGTAACAAGGAAGGGGGGTAAACAATTTAATCAATGGCTCATTTCCGAGTTGCCTTACGCCTTTCTATCTAAAGCGAGGCGTGGTGCACAACCATTCATATGAAAATGAGTAATGTAATGTAATGTATACTTAATTGGCCACTCCCAATTGGGGCTTTTCAGGACCAATGTAAACCAGCAATGATAAATAAATATTCAAATAAACATAACTGGGATAAGAATTCCAACTGGCGGGAGACAGACCAGTTGGCTATTTACAAGCACAGTCGAGAAGTTGAACTCGGGGCTACCGAGAACAACATCAGGAAGCGGCCAAATCCGGCGCTCTAACCACTCGGCCACGCTGCCTCCTCAAGGATGGACATCAAGACTGGCTTTGATCAAGAGGACAAAGGTAATTCGGAAAATGACCTATTCTTTACCTCCCATATGTTGTTTCTGTATAGCATCATTTAAAGTTCCTAGCGCAAATTCCGCCAGCCACTTATGACTTTCGGAGTTGTCTTCTGCTGGATTATAATTGTCGAAACCTTCACACTTGCACCGGGTCAGCGGCATCAGATTCAAGTCTACGCATGTGCGGTTTGCCGGTAAAACTGCAAATATACCTGCAACCAAAGAATTCTGGGAGTTCATTTTCTCGGGGTCGTTCAAACTCATAAGAGCTCTGTGTACATCAAGCAAGGTAAACAAGCGTTTTTGATTGGAAGCCAGAGCGAACATCCGCTGTCGGCCCAGTCTTTCAGCAACCCCGTCAGGAACAATGACGAAAAAGACTGGGTCGAACACCTCTCTCATTCCTTCCTCGGAGTTGTAGCTGTACTGAGTGTTTTTGTTTCCATGGTCGGAAAATATCATAGTTAGAGCGTTAGGACAGGCAGCCATGTTGATCAGAAACTTGGCCATGTTAGCGTCCATGTTGACTATTCGTTTTCCAGTGTATTCGTGCCCAGTGTTAAAGTGCATGAACGAAAGCAAAGGTTTCGCTGTGCGATCAAGTGCAACCGCGTTGTGCATCATGTTGATGTAATTCATGAAATACTGGCTGAAGAACCGACCATTTAAACACACTTGAGGTGGAGTCTCAAAGTGGTTTGTCTCGTGGTATTTGTCAAGCACTGTGCCGGAGAAATGTAACAAACCAAAGTCATCAATGTGTTTCGCTTGCATCTTCCTTTGGAACTCACTCCACCTGCGATGAAAATTGATTTTATTTAGCTTACGTTGATGCTTTCGTAATGATCGGCTGATTACCATTTACACAAAAATTCTGCAAATTTCGGTCAAAATGCAAATGATAATACAATATTGGTTCGACCGAGCGGAAAATTTCCGAAATAAACGGAACGTCTTGAAAGGTGGTCCAAAAATGTCCAACCGAAACATTCGAATGGAAAATGTGCTCACCGTGGTCATTTGCAATTCTTAACCGCCATCTTGGAATCATGATCAGATCAAACGTCGCGCGCTCCCCTGCTAACCGCCTGTTTTGCAGGCTACCAGAACTCGAACCCGGACTGCCCGATCCGGAGTCCAACCAACTAATAATTAGGCGACCGCGCCTCCCACGTCCCAGCCACATACCTGATGAATACTGGGTTTTTTTTTTAATATCTCATCAGTGGAATCTCTCCTAGGTGGACACTGCTGGTACCACGACCCCTTCGAAAAACATGGCTGCAGGAAACGCGACTTACACCCCTTAGGTCAAATCGTGTTAACCCCAAATAAAAGTATATTTTCGATTTAAGTAATTTACAAGTAAATCAACTTTTACTTTCATTGCTCCAGCCGCCGTACCTCTCTTTGAATTCTGAATGTCCTTCAGGCACTCCTCTCATTTCAAGGTCCGTTAACCCAATTCCCCATCTGTCATACCAACAAAGGTCCTCTTGGTAAAGGGTCTGATAACCCCATTCCGTGAAGGTCCCAAACAATACCTCCACACCTAGTGGAGCCTTAACGGTCTTTGCTGTGTCACCAATTATGTTGTCATCTGGAAAAACGCAAAAAAGCACGCAGGGCGCAAACATCAAGTCTTTCATCCTATTGCACCCTCCCCCTCGCTCACCCCTCACCCCTCCCTAGGGACATAATAAACGAAAGGTCACTTAAGTCTGGAATTTTAAGTATTTAGTTCATTTCTTTATCACAGAGCTCACCTTTCATTACGCCGGAGAAGAATGGTCGTAAGTTGTCAAATGTCTGTTGACCAACACTCTGTAACAGTTCAAAGTCCATGGCAGTAGCCTTAACGTTAGGATCCTGTAAAATTTTCCGGAGTGCCCCGGACGCTCTTGGAAGAATTCGATAAAAATGCGGTCTGGAGATAGAGTCCAGCATAATAACGTTTATGTTGATGTTGCTTCTGTTGCCGCCATCTTGAACCTTCTGTAACATGGGCGGGAAGATGAGCGCTTGAAAAATATCTCCGCACTTGATGAACAGGAAACCAAACCCGTTTTTCCGGTTTCTTTTCACGGCTTCTTCTACTGTAGCTGTCATGGTTTCTTTTGGTAAAGGCCTCCAATCCGTTACTTTTCCCACGTCTGGATTGATAGAGCCCATTGTAGCGTCTGATGACCCACAAATTCTAGCGTCACATATCAGTTCATGATCTCCTGATCCGGCTGTTATTACAAACAAACAGATCTCTGGGTAATGAGGTTCGTCGCACTTTCGTTCCGGCTCGACATGTCCCGGATGTCCATAGTATCGATAGGCGTCCGCACAACCAACATTGTCTGGTCTGAAGGGAAGGTGTATCAAAGTATAAAAAACGTTTATTACAGGGTGACGCTTAAGTATTTGAATTGTATCTTCGCTTACTTAGAATGTTAGCTGAAGGTTAACTGAAGGTCGGCATATATTTTTCTTTTTTTACCGGCTAGCTAGAAATGACGCCAGGTCAGCTATGGTAAGAGGATTATGTATGGGGAAAACCAGTGCTTGAAGCACTTGGATAATATAATGGCTTCGAAGTCGCGCTCAGCTGATGATATCACTCTTTCCTGATCTAGCTAACTTTACAGAAGTGAACTTACCTGTGTAGTTTGCATTTAAGAGCAGTCGGCCACTCTTCATCAACATCTGAAGTCCTCTGCAGAGTGAGTTTGGGACACAGGTTCTCTGCATGGAAACGAAAAAGTATGTTAGTTAACAGTGGCAGCCCGTCTTACGGCCACCTCGTTATTACGGACACTTTATTGTGATCAGAACAAAAGCTCAGTCGGTCACTTTCCTATTTAAAGAACTCCTTTAATACGGCCATGGTTGGTGACCGAATTAAAGGGGGTTACACTGTTTTTGAAACATGGCTTCAATCCCATATAGTGGGATTTTTACTACATTTCAGTTTGACACAGTTGTAAGTGGGTAGCATTATTTATCAGTGTGGAACAACTTTCGAATGCAGCCGCATTACGTGAGCTCTTCTAAAAAAACGTAACATAGGGACGTTTTAACGTTTTCCGCGAGAGACCAAGCGAAATTTTGATGACGCAAGTGTTCCCGCGCTTAACAGCCCTTACATGTTTTAGTTTGGAGTTCTGATTGGCTAATTGCATTTGTTACTGTATCAAAGATTACCTCTGTCATTATATCCATAAACCTGCGTTTCTCTGTCTAAATACTCTGTTTATATCATAGCTACGTAAAAAATGCTCGTCATTTTGCCCAGGTGATGACATAGAGAGGGCTCGAGCTTAAGCCACAGGCGAGGTTTCTTTCCGGCGGACGTAGAAGGCTCCTGAGAACAATGATATTAGCTGCAACGCGACAATGCGAGTTCTTAAGAAATTGATTCTTCCACAGCCTGCTGGCACTGATTATCTGAGGAGAGTTTTTCGTACAGTGGAGCTCAATGACTGAGACAAGTGCTACGGTTTGCCTGTTACCAGCAACGGCCCTGACTTTGCGCTACCGTTTGTCGAAGGCAATCTGTGTTAAGTACCAGCAAGTACCTTTTAATGAAGAGATCACGGTTACAGCAAGTGGATAACCTCTGTTCGGTTTTAGATTGAAACATCGACGCAACCAGGAGTTCGCTTCGTTGCTGTTCATTTGAAAAGCGCGAAACGCCAAAGAGAAAGGCAATTCTTTCTTTTATTGACGTGTGAAATTCGTAACGCTTGCGATGAGTAGCAGAGTGTCGCGTTGGCTACCTTGGTCAATTGTGTTGACTAACTCTAACAGGCATTCTTTCCTACAGGGAAATTCGTGTGGTAACTTGTTCTGTTCTTGTTCTGTCAAATTATATTGTACGAGTATCCTAGATGTTCTCGCTTCAAGTTCCCATTGCGTTAGTTTTGCAATAATATTAAAGACTCGACATTTCATTGAGCACTCTCTGGTTCCGAATAAAATCATTTTCTGGGTTCTTTTTCTTCCACCTGGGTCTGGGTCTTTTAATTTGGTTCGACCCATTACGATATCAGTCGTAAAAGGAAATTTATAGTCACACAACTCCCCTAAATATACATTACTTGCAAAAATTCTCGGACGTTTAATTTTCGTTCTCTCACTTCGGTCAAATTTCGGACGAAAAATTTCGCACACGTTGTTGAAACACAGATAACGTAAATTTACACCTACAAAACACGTTTAAGACTGAAACAACATCAATGAAAATGATGGTTTTACGGTCTTTTACTGCACTTTCAAGGTTTTACAGATACGCCGTCACGTGTCTAAACGAGAGTTCGTTCTGTAAAGGAACACTAGCGGCTTTGGAGCGATCTAAAAGTTCTATACCGTGCTGTTAATATTTCGGACGTTCAAAAATCTCGGATGGTTTTATTTTCAGACACTTTTTTGCCCGAAATTAAAATTCGCCGAAATGTTTTGCAAGTAATGTATCGGCAGCAATAAACCACAAACACAAAGAATCTTACCTACATGTCCTAGATGCAAAAATATCACAACGAACAATGCGACCGCAACAGCAATCAAAGTAATCTGTTAGAAATGGAAAAAAAATCGTCATAAATTTTAAAAATATATATCAGTGTTCAGTTGTTCCCGCTCGTTAGAAAATTGGAAATATTCTTTAGTCTTAATAATGATTTATCTTTCGTTTTTTTAAATTAATATACTTCTTATTGATTTATACTGTCGTAATAATGTCTTCAATCAGCTTGCTGTTTGTTTTTCAAGCTTTCCTAGCCTTTTGTGAATGTTGGCCCTATGTAAATCTCAAACAACGCCTTTTTCATTTGATGTTCCACTTGAAGATTTCAGCTTTAATACAACACATTAATGGTAAAATAAAGCAAAGCATGGTAGACTGAAGAGGTTTTAAAGGATTTAACGATTTATGAATAGCGTTCTTGAAGTGTAAAACCTTAAATAGGTGTAGAACTTATCAACAAAATAAAGTTTATGGAACTTGGACACGGTCTCTCGTTTCTAGATATCCTCTGTGAGTATCCTTTATCAGCTAGTTTCGATAGGTAGTATTTGAAATCTGACTTCGTGTCATTGCTGTCACAGCTAAGTTGTGCCGACTGACTCCGTTTTATAACTAGAGTTAGTTTTCTTCGATTTCTTAGCACGTCCCTTTGATTTCTATGACTTAACTTCGATGTGTAACAGATCGATAGCTTCACGATATCTGGACACTGCTAAATACTGAAAAAAATAATATTATACTCACAAAACTGCGCTTGAAATACCGCAACATTCCCTGCTGTTGATTAAAGGAGGTCAGTGTAGGCAAGTTGGTTTACCGGGTATTGCCTCACCAAACCTATCAAAAAGTTTTAATTAAGCCTATTCACGACATTTCCAAATTTACAAATAGGCAATTTTTCAAATTTATTAAAATGTTGTGCGTTCTTAAAATATGACGAGCTGCTTTACGTTACTTAGCAACGTAAAACTTGAAATGGACAGGTTGGAATAGTATATAGTTCATTACGACCGTTTTGTATTGCTAATGGGTTTTAACTTCCTTAAAATGAAAACTGTTGAGCAGTGCTTTCATGTGGAATACTGTTTGTAATGCTGTATATTGCATAATGTTCATAACTTTAAATTCTATTGATGAAACCCCAGTGTGTGACCATTCAAATGAAAGCTATTGAGCAGTACTTCCATATGGTACTGTTTATTAAATTGTACAAGGTGGTTCTAAGAATTTTGAAGTCTGTGAATGAAACAGTAGTGAGGGACTATTCAATTGAAGGCTATTGAGCAATACTTTCATGTGGTACTGTTGTTTGTGCAATTCAATAAAAGGTGCTCTTAAGGGTTGGGTTGAGGATGAAGAAAGATACCGGGAACACCTGAACTACAGGCTACGGTGAAATTAAGAGAAAAATGCAATTAACGTGGGTCAATTTTGCCAATTTTTTTTTCAAACATGCGCAGCTGAGCAAATCATTAGCTTGGTTCCCAGCTTTTGCACAAAGCGATGTTTGTTGGGGAAACATTCATTGTTTAACTCGGCTTTTAATTTTAACATTTCCGAAAGTGATGAGCAACTGTTTTTTTTTTTTTAGTAAAACCACTATCTAGTCTTGTTAGTGCCTTTTTTGAAACTTAGAAATAAACACTGCAATTTTGAAAGTATGATTAGAGTATGACCAAAGTTAAAATTTGTATAGAACTATTAAATTTAGTGTATTTGCTATGAAAATGTCCCTTTTCTGAATGCTTTTGTGAAGACCTCTTTGCATGGAGAAAAGACGTCCCTTATAGAATGATCAGCCCGTTCCATACTGACCAACCCTGCAATCAGGGTGCAATCAGGGACACCCAACGACGACCGGTTCTTTCTCAAATGCTCAATCAAACCGCCGTTTTAGGCTATCTAGAGTGTTTTTAGGCTGCGGTGTAAATTTTTTTGTCTGTTCCATCATTCCAGGGGAACACGAGTCCTCACGAATTATTAGGTTTTTTCGTTCATTTCCTGAAAAACTTAACAGCCTTTACCTTTCCCAAAGTTATAACTGGCCTTTTTTGGTACCCGAAGCGACATTTTAATCAATCTGCAAACGACAGACAGAGTTATATTTCTCACATCACGAAACTTCGAGGTGACAATTCACTCAAGAAAATGGGAGGAGAT